CCGCGCGTGTCCGTGCAATGATGGTCTTTCTGCTGGAGTCTCACAAAACTTCATGTCCGCGCATGTCCGCGCCACTGTGCCGCAAGCTTCCGACCTACTTGCCATGTCCGCGCGTGTGCGCGCTGCTCTCCATACATGAATCGCTTGGCATGGCCTGTGTCCGCGGCGTCTCGTGTCTTTCACGTCAAATCCGGATGCTTTTGGGGGGCTTGGGGGCTCCGCACGCTTGCGGCTTCATAGGGGTGGCTGGGTCTCCGTGTTCCTCTTAACTATCATATTCTACACTGCTCGGGAAAAAATAGGCATGGATGGTTTGGACTGAGCGCTGAAGCATGCATCCAAACTATGACCTGTGCACGAACATGTCACTCGCAAGATTTCTCACCCGGAAAACTTGATAGCCAAAACAAAGAATATGGTGCAGAACACAAGTGACACTGACATGTGCTCAAAACCAATGAAAAGCTTGGCGAGAACTTGCGCTACTTAAAAACAACTTACAAGTACCTGCTAAGTCGAACCGATTAGTTGTTTTTAACTTGTTGCTTAGTTCCTAAGAGGAACACGTCGCCAAAGTGGCCGTGCCCCGGCTCTCCGCCTGAAGCATGTCCGCAAGTGGGTCTTGGCAGCGTTATCCGCCAACAAGGGGGACTACTCACGGAGCTGCGCATCCGTGCCAAGCAACGCGGCCGCACTCGCACTCTCTCGCAGCCCGTCCAGGCCCACCACACAGCCCAAAAGCTCCCGGGCGCCGCCACCCCTACCTGGCTCCACTGCAGCGAACTGCCCGTGCAGCTCATGCACTCGGCCGAGTGTGCCCGCCCACCCTTGTCACCTCTGCGTTGCTGCAGACACTGCCCATAGGCTGGTCTTTTGGTTTCCGGCCCTTGTCACTCATGATTTCCCCCCACTGTGTCTTGGCTGCACTTATGACTTATGAGTTTCCCCCTGAAACCTTCCGCGGAGGCGGTCGATAGCGCTCATCGGAGGTGCCTTGAGATGCTGGGGAGTGGAAGAGTGGTGGCGGACTGTGGAAAGACCGCGCGTGAACCGAAGCCCACAACCCCACACGAACACCATGCAGCAGTCCTTGACGCTATAGACCTTATGAAGCTCATGAACCCCAAGAAACGCCAGTGCCCAGGAGTCGAGCGCCGACGAGCAGGACTCTTCTTGCGCGCTGACTCCAGAGGCACGCCTCCCCGTGTCGGCCCCCATGTGCTGCGCAGGAATCCAGGCAGTTCTGGGAGGAGGATTTGGAGAAGGAGGCTATGCATACGTGTTAGTAGCCTACCAGGGACATGAGCCAAACCATATTGCTCCGAGGAGGAAAGGCAGCTGCAGCAAGCGCTCGCCGCGTCCCGAAACCTTCAGGTCGACCCGAGCGAGTGTGATCCGTCGGGGGCTCAGTGCAAGGCACTCGTTGCCTGAAAAGCGGAGAGACGTGGTGCGACAGGAGCGCCAGCGCCAGCGGCATCAGTCGACCGTGAGGGAACCCCCGCTCAGAGCCTCAGACAAGCTGCGTAGCTAGCGAGTCGCAGTTCGGTTGAAACCACACAGGGAGCGAGTGCAAGCTTTCTGCATGTGTGCGTGTTGATGGGAGGGGGGGGGTTCCGTAAATCTGGGCTAAACAAGAATATAGATTTCCGAAAACACAAACCAGGGTGGGGAACAGCGCGTGCGCCCGGCAACGAACCGGGTGGGATGCACGGGGGCATCCCTAAAGCTCGCGCCAAGCCCCTTAAGCCCCGAGCGTCTGGTTTCAAACGACTTTCGTTCAACATGTAGCGAGCCCAGGAACAGGGTTCATCGAGCAGATTTTCTTGATTGAACATGGTTTTTTCTCGATATTTTGAATCTTATTAGAAACTATACATTGATAGGCTCATTTTTAAATCTGATAACTCGAAGAAGATCGTTTCATGAAGAAGATTCTAAGATGTGTATTCATGATTGATTGTATAGGTCCTAGAGATATTCTTCAGGATCTTACATTTTTAGGAAACTATCTCGCTCGTCTTGCTATTGTATAGTGAACAGATTTCAGGTTGCTGCGAGCTCCCAGCGGCCAGTTTTCACAGTTCGCTTGCTTCGAGCTCCCAGGGTTCAGTTTCGGGGGCTACCTGCCTACTACCTACCTACTACCTACTACCTACCTACTACCTATCACCTACCTACTACCTACCTACTACCTACCTACTACCTACCGACCGACGCGACGACCACCACCACCACCACCTTCGTCATCGAGCCCACTTCGAATACACATCCTCTGGACCTTGAACCACTACACCCGGCAGTCGTCCTTTCCCCTAATTCGTTAGACCCCGACACATCCTACTGTAGCGAACGAGGCCACTGGCGACGTGGTTCCGAAGGCGAGCTCGACGAAACCCGCAGCCCGGAGGAAATGGCATTTGGGGTGCATCTTTACATCATTGATTCTGCAAAAGGGTACACAGAGAGCAACCCACAGTTTCCGGGATGAGGGTTCAGGGACACTAAGTGGATCAGTCGGGTCAAAGCCTGCGGCTGCTGGCGGCCCCGAACTCCCCTTGAAACTCCACATGGCGACAACCGTGCCGAGTTCTCATGGCTGTATGACATCAAGTCTGCAGTTCGCGATTTCGGGCTTTCAGCCCAAGAACACGTGTGCAGCGTCTGAGGCTTAGTCGACGCCTTGGCCGGCGAATCCAACGTTTTCAGGCCAGATCCCTCAACCCTATCCAGGGCTTCGGATTTCGGAATTTAGGTTTTTTCTCCAGGCCTTTTCTATGGCTTGCAACATGCCGTCTGGACTGCGATGAGGCGCCGACGCGAGCGCGAACCCCGGCCCGGCGAGCCGCCCATGCAGCCGAAGCGGGCGCTCTTCCTTTTCGCACCTTGGGCGGGGTGGGCTTAGGGTAGGGGTCGGATTTTGCTAGGCTGGTCTTCGGGCTGTTTTCGTTTTTTCGTTGCGTTAGGAGTTTTAGGGCTTAAGGTTGATGATTTCTCTGGAGGTCGAAAGAGCTGAAGAGAGCTCAGGGTTCACAGGTTTCATTGATGTGAGCCGCTCTCACGGCTTGAGACGTCCCAGTTCGTTACGCTGTGTAGGTGCTCAAGTTGGATGATGTCCGAGACTGTACTGATGGCACATGCGACGATGAAATTAAGAAACTCGAAGCAACTGCCATTCAAAACCCATTGGATGCTTTGCCTCGTCGACGGCTTTGGGCTTCCTGGAGTCTAATAAGGGAGTGTTGTGCGGCTTCAACATCATCCCCCAAACCAATGCTGAAGTTCACCCTGTTTTTGCCCACGGACAACTTCCTGCCCCAGATGTTGAACAACCCCCTTTTTCCCTACGACCAGGGTACTTTTACGTTTCAATCTTGCCCCACAATATCAATAGGCAGCGACAGAGCAAAGCTCTAGAAGCTCCTGAAGGCAACAAACCCTAAACCCTAAACCCTAAACCCTAAACCCTAAACCCTAAACCCTAAGAGGAATCCTTCCCATTTTTTTTGCGAGAAATGAAAGCTTTGAGGAGTCGTGTCATACATTTTAGCCAGCACTCAGGACGCCTCAGCGTGACTGGGCTGCTGATGAGGGCGAGTCGGGACGTGGAAACAAGGGCTCAAGGGCAGTTGCAGCGCATGGCTCTAGGCCGAATTCAGGGATGAATTTGTCTGAAACCGCAATACAGACATGCACATGTCGAGCCAGGCACTGCCCCTTCATAGGACCTTCATGGGCATCACGAACAAGCGCAACTGGCATCAGCTTCCTTCTGAACTGGTTTCCCCCCGACCCGAAGGTCTTGGACCCCGGCGGCTCCTCCCACCCTAAACCCTAAACCCTAAACCCTAAACCCTAAACCCTAAACCCTAAACCCTAAACCCTAAACCCTAAAACCCTAAACCCTAAACCCTAAACCCCAGGTCGATGTATCGGTTCAATGGCACGGATGGTCGGCTGCGCCGGACCTGCGAGACGGCCGTGATGATCATGGAAGCCCTTCAAGGCCCTTTGGCCCAAAGAATCTCTGAGAACTGAGGAGCCGTAGGGTTCATAGGGGGTCAGTTTGACAGGGTGCACTTTTGGAGCTTTAGGGGCTTTCAGGCCATTCGGCCATTGGGGCCCGCAGCACTGCACAGCAAGCATGTGAGGGTTGAGGATGGCATGGCTATCATGAAATTAAAGGGAGAGAGGGGCCTTGCAGGGGCTTCTTCGGGCCCAAGCTGACTCAGGTTTGGAATCTCGCTTCGACTACTCCTTGTGCTGTCACGATGGAGACAACCCCTTGCAGGAGTTCGCACTCAGCGACGTCTGAACACAATCAAGAGCTGCTGACAGCTGCATAGACGTGGCAATGCAAGTCCCACTATACTCCTGTGTACTTCAGCCGGTTGCCCTTCGGCAAAGGAGGGCATAGAGCGGTCCTTTTGCTGCCGCTTTCTCAAAGTAGAGCACGTGAAGTTTGCCAGGCTTTTGCGAAAGGACGGTTGCACAGGTGATCCAGCAACGATCTCCATCAGGGTTCACCACTCGAAGCTTGCAGCTCTCCTCTCGCGTGATGAATGCTCGCGACTGGACGGCAGTCCTTGATGCCCTCCGGGCCCATTTGCCGTAGTCCTGTACGGAGCAATTGCGTTTGCCGGAGAGGAGCTGGTTCCGTTTGGACAGCCGCCAGCAGATGAACGAGCGCGTCTCACGGTGGCCTCGGGCTTACCTGGCGCTTATGAGTGCATCATCCCAAGGTCGTTGGTATTTTGTGGTCGTCTGGGGTACGCTTTCAGCCAATAGTACAAGCAAGTTTCGTCAATAGCAGCCAGCCATGCTCGGCGCTTGGAAGTCGCGGTGCCGGTAATTCCCATGACGACATCAAACCTGGAATCAAGCTCTCCGCAATTCTGAAAAATCAACTACGGTTTTGGTCTCCAAGGTGTTGAAGCTTGTGGCCGCTGCCCAGCAACTTGGCTCCATCACGACCTCCAGACATCTCCAGACCACCTGATTGCCACATCAGTCCAATTCCATTTTTGGTGCAGGTACTGCAGCTCAGGCGACAATACCTTGGAAGCCATAGAGAAGGCAGTGGAGAAGGCAAGCTTTCTTGGAAGTGCATTTGCTTCTGCAGGCATAGGTTGCATAAGGGAACAAGCCGTGTTGTGTTGTTTTGTTCTGCCTCTTCGTTCGGCTTTGCCCAAGAACTCCAAGCAGCGAAGAGCTTGGAGGTTGCGACTTCAGGGCCCGCAGACGATCGTTTCGTCTTTGCCTTCTCAGACGCCAACTTCGACCGCTACGGGCTCACGGCGCAGGCACGCGGCGCTTCGGGTTGAGGTAGGTCAGGGCTGATGGGAGCAGTGCCCGACTAGTCCCTTACTAGGACTAGGTCCCTTACTTTCGTAAACCCCCCATATAGCATGCACTTGGGCTTTTAGGTGTTCCTGTTTTCAGAGCATTCGGACCCAAGCATCTACTACACTGGTACAACAAAGCGCGAAGCCCGAAACCCGAAACCTGAAACCGAAACCCTAAACCCTAACCCCCCCTATGCCCTTGGGATCGTTTTTCTTTATAAAGGTTCAATTGGGGTTTAAGTTGAAAATATATTATGCATAGTATACTCGTACATTATGGGTTCATTTGTGTTTGGCTTCGGGGGGCTAGAGCCCCCCCCAACCCCCAAATCACGCCCTAAAGCCCCAAACCTGTCATGCCATAAACCGCGGCCTACTAAACGCCACGAAGCCGCCACGAAAGCCTCAACTGCAAAGGCCCTAAACCTTACTACAGTGTTTTCTAGTACTCTTTTGGTATATTATACTGTATCTCATTTATAGGATTAGAGTATAGAGTTCTTATGTTATTATAGTAATATGTTCGTCTTGACTCAACTAGTTGGCCGCCCCTCGGCTCCTGAGGCGCTGGCAAAGACCATGAACGCGCATGGGCCGGGCAGCGCAGACGAGGTGCCTTGAGAGTGGCATTCAGGGATTTGGGCTTTTTGGGCTTTTTGGGGCTTTTTGGTTGGGCTTTTGGGTGGAGGTCAGGGCTTAAGTGAATAGAGGTCTTAGGTCTAGAGTCTAGGTCCATGGATCCCCAAGACTACCGTTTCCAACATCTCAAGTACCGCTGCTACTCAGCAAGAGTCGGCCCGGCCCTGCAGAATGTCAAGCTCCTGACATGGATCTTGCTTCAACCCCAAAATGCGATAGTCCTTCGCAGAGGAGCTCCAAAATCAGTATCCTGATTTTAGGAATTGCCCGCATGCTGGGTCCCCGCAAAGGTGCGCTGCATGCTCTTCCTCCTCGCCACCTTCGAGGATGAGGTAGTGTGGGCTTGGAATTATGGGGGGGGACGGTAAACCATTTGCCTTTAAGTTGAGGCTTTGGCACTTTGCTTGACCACACCACAGTGGCGCGACTTTCTGAATCCCAACCACTTCACCCAAAAAGTCACCGATGCTGCCTTTGACACTGATATCTCTGCCTTTGACACTGATATCTCTTGGACTCTGGAGAAAACAGGCCTGCTATGAGACCATGGACGTACATCAAGTACCGCACATGCCCAGCACCCCCTGAATCCTAAAGCCTCGTCCTGTGAACCTCGTATCAGCCACAACTTGACCAATAAGAAGCTACAAAGCCCCCCACTTCAAGTTAGCGGTTCTAAAGGCCTTGATCATGGCCAACTCCTTGCCCGACCAGGCCCAGACCTCAGTCACTCCGTAGTTCTGTTGGCTTGCCAGGGTTTAGGGTTTAGGGTTTAGGGTTTAGGGTTTAGGGTTAAGGGTTTAGGGTTTAGGGTTTGGGTTTGTGATTCGGTCCGCCGGCCTTGAACCCACAAGCGCAGGCCCCAAAATGAGTCTCGTGTGAGGATCTGCGATGCTGGCCTTAAAGGGTGTTGAACAGGGCATTTTCCAGCATTTACGTGCGCCACCCGACCGGATTTGTTTTTCACAGGCAGCACGCGTTTGTCGCGAAGTTGTTGGTGCTCTTGGGCAAGGGCGAATTCCACACCCCTCCCCTTCCCCCCCTCCCCCCCCTGCCTCTTCCCCGCCCCTCCCCTAAACACCCCCTAAACCCTAAACCCTAAACCCTAAACCCTAAACCCTAATTCAAACTCCAAGCGCAGGTTCGTCTCTGTCTGGACCCGCGGACTTTGCCCTCCGAGCTGCGGCAGGAGCAGCTTGGGGGGTTCGAGGGGGAACTGACTGGCGTGGCGTTGTTGGATGTGCTGGTAGGGTAGAGCATCTGTTGCAGCTTTTTTGAAGTTGCGTTACATCTGAATCCACAGGATTCAAGGCAGACGATGTCAGGATTGGGGAGGACTTCGGGGGTCGTGAGTTTGGAGTTTGGAGCCTAAACTGTGCTCTGCAGGAGTTTGCCAGCCGCATGGGCCGACGATCGGCTTTGTAAATAGCTAGCACCCGCGCGTTGATATGAGAGATCCTGCAAGAAAGCCTTGCTTAACCCACAATGTCGCGCCCTGGGCTCTCTAACCAAAACTGTTGGGGAATCATGCCGGATCTGGCATATCAACCGGCTTGATTGACTCTCTGGTAGGGACCAAAAAAAGAGGTAATCCATGACAGCATGTGCTAGTGTGCCGGGTACGGTGGCTTTTCAGACTTGGAGAATCAGCTTCCTGGAACATCTTGCATCATAGCCAGGAGCAGCGCTGTGAAAGAACGACACGGCTGCAGCAATGCAGACACTTCAACAGGATAACGCACAACGACTCTTATCATGGGGGGGAGATGATGTGCCAGATTTTGACCTGGGGATGGAAGAGAAGTTGTTCGATACATTCTAGCCCAACATCCGCAAAGACATGCGATAGCAGCATAGCATATGCGGGGGGAAGGTGGAGAAATCATATATGATGCGAGAAATTGCATAGTATTTTCCTTTGGAAGCCAGCTGTGTCATACCTGGAATCTACCATATCGCTGTTAGTATCGCTGTTCACATACGCGGACACACGGGACATTCGAGATGTCACAGGCGTGAATCTTGTGGGCTTTCTGGTTCTGCCGCAGCTTCTGGCTTGTAGTTGCCATGAGCCACGTGACCACATGTCACCATGCTGCGCATGGACAAGCAACAGTCATCGAGGCATCGAGCAACCAGTCCATGCAGAAGGCGACTTCCGATGAACATCCCATAAAGTGTCAGATCGTTCTTTGGCTAGGGCGTAGCCTGCAGAAAGCATCGCCCAGGCCGGCCAAGCACACAAAGCGTCTTGTTACCCCTTTGCCAACTCCCGTTTTCTTCTTTTGTTTTCTTGTGTGTTGCCCTTGTGCAGCTTGGAGATGTTTTCACTCTATGTCCTGAGCCGTTGCTTCAGCTGTGACTGCTAGCGGTGGCAGGATGACAAAACCAAAGCGGCCCAAATACGAGACCGTGCAGTGCCACTGCGATCACCAGGGTTTGTTGGTTTTCGTCAAGTTGTCATGGGCTGTTCTCACTGGAGGTGGAGCTAGCCCTGCTTCATATTTGTGAGGTACACGCCTCCTACGCCGCAAGTGTTTGGCAGCCAGCTGCCTAACGACATCCCAGCGTCTCCCTGGCATGTGACTGAAGAGGGCGCCAGTTTGCGAAGGTCCCGTTGCGACTCGGACGGGTTGCCAGGAAGCCTGCTGGGTCGACCTCATCGTCATTTAACGTTGACCGCCCCAGGACGCCTGACCCGACATTCGCATGGACTAGAGCTGCGGGTTGCGCGGTACCGGGTTGCGAGATGTTTGTGGCTTTTTGAGGAATCGTCCAAAGCTGCAAGACAGATTGGCAGTCTACGAGGCCTCCGGAAGCACTTCTTGGACAGTATTGCTGAAAAATGTTCTTTAGCACATACACACACACACACAGACACACATATATATATACACACACACACACACATGTACACATACATGTACGCAATATACATAAACAAAAATGTATACATTATATCTGTATATATGTATATACATTAACACTATACAAGCAGTGGAATGAATTGTTAAAAACACGCATCAGATCCAATAACAGTGGCAAGCTGGGGACAGGACGACAATCCACGCTGCCAACAGCTGATTTGCACGATTGGCATTCTCTTTCCCCCGTTGTGGCTGGTCGGTGCAGCGATGCCGGGCACCCAGGGTTTGAGGTTTAGGGTTTAGGGTTGAGGGTGTTCCGAGAATCTGGGTTGCAAGTGTTGATACCCGCAGCTACACTTTGGTGCCGTGTTGAACAGGTCGGAACATCTCCAGCGAGACCAGACACCACGATACAACAGCATATGAAATTATGAAGCTTCATGAAGCTCAAGGAGTGAAGTTCAGGCTTCAAACGAGCTAGCCCGATGAAGAAACGTGAACAGTCATTGAGCACAGCATGACAGGCCAAGCAAAACAGGAGTCTTGCAAGGGCGGTCTATCTAGCTTTCTCTCGCTGTCGTTCGCTGTTATCCTGCACTGCCCTGCACGCCTTTTCACACCTCTGCTTCCAAGCCCCGAAGGAACCGTAGCACCTCCGCAAGAGCGCTTTCTATAAGATATAGGAGCGTTCCCCAAATACTAAAGATTACTAAAGCCCATGTGATTCTTGCCGAATTAGATATCTTCCAGACATCCCCCCTCAATACCAAACCTGCTTGACAGCTGGGGCAGGTTGGGTTGTACAGGGCTTAGGGTTCGGGCCCCTGGGGAGAGGTTAAGGTGGTTGCGCTGCGGGGGGCATCCGTACAAACGACCTGCTTGTTTTCAAGCATGTGTCCGGCCAACAGAAGTATGAAATTTGGGAGAGGGGGTTTTAGTATTGGGGTGACCGATTCATAGAAAGTTGGTGAGGTAAAGAGATAATGGCTTTCATGCTTACGTTCATCTGCAATGTGGTGCACCACTGCAAGTCCCACTTGTCCATCGCATCGTGTGTGCTTTTCCGGGAGTCCCTGTTGTGTTCATGGCCGAAGCTTCTCATGTGCCTGGTGCGAGGTATGCAGCAACGCCCCCGGCGAAAACAGCGACCAGAGAGGCCTTTTGTGGTTGAGAGTTTTTGGCGAGATTGTGGTGTGCCGGGAAGGGAGACGTGCTCAACATGCGTCGATAAGTAGAACCTGGCGGTATGGTGGCTACTTAGCCTGGCGTAGCGCTATCCGCAGGTGCCGTCAGACCTGTGCAGTTGCGTGGAATGGAGAAGAATGGGTTCTGGTGACACCGTTGACATGTGACTGTTTCGCATAGTCCAGTCGCGCATCTTTCCCCTCCACCTGCGCCCTGCTGCCCGCGCAGGCAGGCTTCAGAAATTTGATCCTCTCGATCATTTTGTTCGTTGTGCCTGCTCCTCACGGACAAGGGGCGAATAAGAAATTCACATGGGTTGGATTGCTGTTTCAGCTAGGGCCTCTGGAGGTTCACATTGATCTTACAGGCTGCAAAGTGAATGCCTAGTGGCGAAAGATGGTCTTTCTTCGCACTCTGGATGCTGGGCGTTGTGCTGATGTTGGAAGAGCTTCTTTGGAGTGGAAATTCAGGGTTGCACGCCACCTCAACAAAATCAGTGCATTCAGGGTTGCACGCCACCTCAACATAATCAGAGCAGTTCAGAGTTCAGTCTCCAACTTTTGTACTCTCCAAGGCTCATCGTGTACGCGGTGTACAGATTTTACACGCCTGGATGCTGCCTCAGACAATAGTTCACTTGCCTCGTTTGTAGTTCGGATCTGCGCGCTCCGATGAGAGTTTGCCAGAACCCCGTACCCCAAACCCGTAAGTGTTACATGTTCAGTAAGAAACCGAAGCAGGTGCGCCTTCGCCGGGACGGTGACGGCAAGAAATGTTTTACGGCGATGCGACGTCACCCGAAGCCCATGATCTAGCGTGCCGCATCCGCAGCAGCTTTGCAGGTCGGCAGACTTGTCAAAAATGCTACATACTCATATCATTCCCCTGGCTTTCATGAAGAGGCCAACATTCATTCCACGATTAGTTCTCTCACGCTTTCCCCCCACTTAGCCGGTTTATTCATTTCGTGGGGTTTTATCTGAAGAACAAGAAGCTGCAGTGTTAAGACAAAACTGAAGGTTCTCCGGTTCTTCCAAAATCTTTATCACATGGGCTGGCACAGGGTTCAGCGATCGCTCCCTTACTACAACGGTTGTTCTATTGTTTAATTCCGTCAAGGATTTCTATAAAAGACTTGGTGTTTTTCGCCAATGATTTGGTCCGCTTCTTCTCAGAATATGGGAGATTTGGAAATTTCGTTTTATCAGGTACTAGGATTATAATATTTGATATCTTGATTCTTTCTTTGGATTTATGG